CTCTCTCTCACAGTACACTAAGTGTGGATGGGTGACATCCAGATCCTCACAAATATTTATGTATTTATTAAAAAATGAACTAACGAGAACAGTGACAGGGGATATGCTGAGAGAGCATATTGGTTAAAGTAACACAGAAAAATGTTTTTAAATTGGGAAAGCCAGAGCATACCACATCTGTAGGCCAAACTCTGCCTTAACCCAGTTTTCACCATGTCTACAACTGATAAACATCCCTGCATCCTGCCTAAGCTTTATTTACTTTGTCTGACCTTTAATTACATTGTGGGATAGCTATTTTTGAATATTCAAAATTCAACTGAAGTTTATTTTACTTTCATGGAAAAATACAACTAATCTTCAGCATCTGAATGTATATGATAGCAAGCAAAAGGAACACTTTTTATATCTGTATTTCTTGATGATACCTTGCAGAACTACAGAAGAGGAAAAGTTTGTTCCCAGGACAAGGTATCTATATCAGTTAAACATATACAATGCACATTAAACTATGTTGTTACAAATTAAAAATTCCTTCTCATTAGAATGCATTTAATACTTTATTATATGTACAAGATAAGCTATCTTTTGTTGATTAAGGAATCTTAATTCTAGGTCAACCCAGATTTCAGGTATCTCACTGTAAATATATGTAAATATATTTATAGGTCAATAATATGAATTTCAACCAAAGCTTTTAAAATTATCACCAAATTCTAGAGATTCAGTGTAATTTTGGATGCCCTGGGGGCAGAATAGAAGGATAGAGGCTGTTGAAAGTCCCAGACATACTATCTTAGTTTTTCAGCCCTGGAATATCTGAATTACCTTATCCTGTAACCACACACTGCAATGCTGACAACAGAAATGCTGGAATATAGACTGGAAATATTATGAACTCACCTTTTCCTCTTTCCACCCCCACTTCCCCAACAAACTTAGACTAGAAAAAAACAACAAATATCCACATTAAAAATCCATATTATCCTTAAATCTAAGTTCATTAGAATAAAAATTGTGTATTTGAATGCTGAATTCTGCTTTGTCTTTATGTGAACTGTACATAAAGATAGGTATGGCCAGTGAACAAACCATAATCATAATACTTGTTTATACCTTACTGATCCCTAAGAAAGCTGTGAGGTTTAATTGTGTCATTTGGATTTTCGGCATATTCCTTGTCATGGACAGATCAGTATTTGTTTCTTCACTTCTCATTAAAAGAAAAGAGCATGTATTTACAGCCATTCATAGGACTTTCACTTCATAGTGAAAACTCAGTTTGAAGTGGTACTGTCAGAATGAGACCACTCCCATGCTAGTTAGTTGACTGACTTACAACTTTGTCTTCAGTAACTTTGATGTATGGCCTACATGCAGAATTTAACCAGTGTGGCCAGGTGACCACATGACAAATAAAAACAACACGCTGAAAATAAACACATATCACAGGTACTGATGGTTTTGGCAAAAATGTGATTCTAGCAGTTCAGTTCTGCATGCTTGATCTTCAGCATTTAATCTTTTTTATTATTATTTTTTACTGTTTAGAAGTTATGAGTCATTCTCTAGAACAAAAAAAAAAAAACCAAAAAAAAACAAAACCCATCCAACAATATGATAAGTATAAGCCAACTTGCTATCTTGCTATGTCCCCCTGCCAAAACATTTTTTACTTAGCTACGGATACTTTCTGATTTCTGAAACAAGTCTTCAGCTTTGATTACACATAGCTATTGATTTTCTTAGTTACAAAAACAAGACTGCATTTTTAATCCACAGTTGCACAACTGTATTACCAGGCTCTGCTCCAGTTAAGAAGTTATGAATAAAGTTACAGTTCTTGAACAAGATTACTTGTCTGTTTTTCAGAGACTTTTCAAACTCCTGTCTGAATTCTGGAAAATCATAGCTGTAAATAAATAAACAAAGAAAAGTCTCATCTTCACAGATCAGGACTTGACAGGTAAACACACTTCCCAATTTTGAGGATAACCTAAAATATACTTTGTCAAACTTCTCTACATGAAGGTGATCAGAGCATCAGTGTATTTCGTTCAAAAGCAAGTAAGACATAACTTAAATAATTTATCTTTAAGATGAACGTACTTTTAAACAACCTTTTGAACAGTTGATATGAAACAAGTTATATTCTTAGAGACTGATTTTAGCTGCAGTATCACAGAGTAATCTAAGAAAAAACAGCGAAGTGACCTCCAACCTGAACAACGCTCTCATTATTGGATCAAACTTCCATAATTTACTTCAAAATCTCGAAGGCCAGCTTTACAGGAAAGAATTTGTAAACATCAACACAAAGCTGAGAAAATCAAAAGCTATTTTTAATTTGCCTCTGAATGACTGCGGTTTTTCAAGTACTGAAAATCAGGGCTGAGTAGCCCATTTTTTTCCTTACTTTTTTTTTTTTTTTTTTGTACATTTTTTCATGGGAATTTTGGGTTGAAACAAAAAAATGGTGAAGTGAAAGTGCTACAGAGATACACTGTAGAGGGGAGAGGCAAAAAAAGAAGGGTTAAAACCCACAAGTCAAATCAGTAAATGTATCATTCAAATATAAAGCGCAACAATTACAGAGAAACTTTAAAGCAACTTACCTCGAGGGAGAGAGATCAAAGAGCTGTTTTCAGTCGGAGCTTGCTCTGGCCCTCCAGGCCCCGGAGGAAGAGGTTCTCTCACTTGGGACATCTGCCAGCTCTCTCGACGAGTAACAGAGAGCCTGCACCCCTCTCCAACAAAACTACCACGCGACCCTGAAGGAACAAGCAAATGAAAGGACTCGTTAATGGACTTTTTGCAGAAAACTCGCGGCTCGGGGCGAGGGACCGAAGAGGGACAGTAGGGAAGCGGCGGCAACTTTCGGGCGCGGCGGCGGGCGCGCCCCCCGCCCCTGCAGCGAGCACCCGCGGGGCCGGGGGGCGGGAGCGTCCGCGGGGAGCCCGGGGGGGCCCGGCGGCCGCGGCGGAGCTGCCCGGCAGCGCGGCGAGCCCACCTCCGCATGTCCTCCGCTCCGCTCCGCCCGGCCCTGCGCCGCGCCCCGGCCGCGGAGCCTCCGCGCCGCTCCCGCCCGGCCGCTGCCGCCTGGCCCGGCTGCCGCCTCCTCCCGCGCCGCCCGCCCCGCACCCGCGGGCCTTCCCCCGGCGGTGGCGCGCACAGCCTGGCACTCACAGCCGCTGTCCCACCGCCGCCGCAGTCACTCCTGCTCCATCATTTCCGGACAATGAAACATCTCGCTCCGGCTGGCGGGGCTGCGGTTGTGCAGCTGCTGCCGCCCGCCAGCGCCGGGCCCGCGGGCTGGGCTGGGCTGGGCTGGCGGGGCCGGCCGGCCGCGGGGCGCCGCACTGCTCCCAGCCGGGCCTCCAGCCATGGAAACTCCCCTGGGCCACCGTAACCGGGCAGACAGAAGTAGGCAAGAAGGGGTGAAAAAACCCCAGGAGAATGTGAAAGGGAGGCTTTCCAGCCCGGGCAGGGTTTGCAGCAGCAGCGCTGGCAGCGGCGCGGGGCACGCTGCGTGGCGCAGCCGCTGGCTCCCGAGTTGGCCGCGGAGCCGCGGATCGGCCGCCACCAGTTGCGCGGCGGAGCGCGGAGCGGCACGTGCGGCGCCGCAGGGCCCCGGCCTTGCACCCTTCGCGGGCCCTTCTACCCCTGCCCCTGAGCCGTAACATGCACGTATATCCATGAAAAGGACTTCACAGCGGCCACACAGAAATATTCGATGAACACGAAGAATAGATCAAGCAGTTTTCAAAAGTAGAACCCTAAGTGCAAATTACTTCCTCTGCTACCATCTGCCAAGTAGCGTTACCTGGACTTTCTCCATGCAGGAAATAACATTTCTTTCCCATGGCACAGTCTGATGCGATCATCAGTCTTGTGCTCTGTTCTTACCCACAACATAGGGTACTGCAGTTTTTGCTCACACATGTGCTGGTGTCCATAAGCTACATGCTTTGCCTTGCTTATGGGAACACAGTGTGTCACCTTCCTCAATTGAAGTGTATCCAGGTTAAAAAGGCATTTTCCTTGAAATTTACAAGCAGATTATTTCATTATGGTTTAATAAATATACCAGCTTTACTGGTATCTCTCATGACTGAGATATTTAGATATATTTTTTGAGAAACAAAAGTAGGAATATAAAATAAGTTATAGACTATCAGCATCTTAACATGAGAGACTATAGCTGATAGATATTTATTTTGATATCACACATACTAAGCAATATGCTCAGTAGTTAAAAGTTGACTTCTTAAAGTTTAGCCTTTCCCTGACATGCTTGCAAAGCAGCCAGGATAAAGTGTAAATACCTGACTAGCAGCCAGTTCTGTGTGAACTCCACACCCTTCAGAGCTAATTCTTATTTCAGAAGTCATCAGTAACTTTGCTCCATTGTACAGCTTTATTTTTATCATTGTTAGTGCAAAAGAGAAGTGTGATGAAAGGTGTGTATGCTTTCCTCTGGAAAATAATATAATTTTTAAGTATTTTAGTCTCCTAAGGTGTTCTTTCATGCAGTATAGTCTTTCTTTAAACATTTATATGGAAAATAGGGGGGGAGTGGGAGGAAAGGTGTTTTATTTAGGAAAGAAGCTGTGTAAAAAAAATCCATTTGGGGCAACCAAAGTTACTAATTTACAGTGTAATAATAATATTGGTCTCTATATCTACACTTTTCATCTATGCAAACATTGCATAATTTTCCACAGTCCCCTCCTTGCTGTCCTGGTGGCAGAGTGATCAAAACATAAGGTAGAATGACTTACCTCAAACTCCCAAGTGAGTCAGTAGCAGAAGAAAGGTTATGACTCACTCTCAACATACAAGCTTGTGTTTTTCCCTGTGAAACTGGAAACGTAGCAGAGAGCTGTGGGAAGAGCAATAATTTAGCCAACCACACCCTGCTTCCAAAATATATCATTGGCTAGTAAATGCCTATGGAGAACTGATACCGCCCAGAGTTGGTATTTTGGTGGGGTTTTTTAACCTTATCTATGAAACCCACATGGTAAACTCCAGTGACGTTCACTTTATCTTCTTTAAAAAGATGATGGGACAAGCTCATCCTGACAAGGTTCAGTTTAAAGCAACTAAGTGAATTTACAGGATCTTCAGCAGACAGGACAACTGATGCAGTCAGAGCTAGTCCTAAACAAAATCAGATTAAGAAAAGGTAAGAGAATTCAATACACAAAAAGCACAATTCACTGAAATTGTACATTAAAAATATTGTGCAATAGGTAACACATTGCATACCGAAGGCTGTGATTGTAACAAGATGGGTCCAGATGTGGTTCTTGTTAATGAGATACCACAGATAGGCAAAGCTCATTGGCATACGCACTTCCTGACAGTACAGCATACTTCTAACAAATACTCAGCAAATCTCAAATATTTGTTGGATTACTTTCTTGTAAAATACATATCATTCTTAAATATTATTGACAATTCTCAGGAAGTGGGAAGTTCAGATACTAACAACAGCAGCCTTTCAAGTAAGTTACAAATTTGAGGTATACCGTATCTTACTATAGCAAACAAATTGCTGGCTGTTGCACATATGTATTCCAATATAGTCTTCCATTGTTAAACCATAAAATTCAGGTCTTGTAGGCAACTGATGGCAAATTTTGGGATTGATGTGAAGAGAAATTCAAAAGCCTTGTAAATGGAAAATAAATATAGTTTGTAGGCAAGCTAAACATTCATGACAGGAAAAAAAAAAAACACCAAAAAAAAAAAAAAACCTGACCAAAACAAACATATACAACATATACCTGACAAAAATAAACATATAAATAAAAAATGAAACCAGAAAACCCCAACAAAACCCACAAAACCACATGTAGCAAAAACACCACTATCATCACGAAAAAGCCCTCCAAGTTTCTTTCTCTATTAAAAAGATTCTTTAAAACTCACTTCTATCAAAAGTGCACAAAGTATACAATATAATCACATGTCTTCAGGGCAAAATTGTTTATCACCAGTTCCTAGAGTGAGCTCCCACACAAGCCATACAAAAGCAGTCAAAATATACTCCTCACTGAAAAAAATAAAATGTTTTAGAAAGATGTAAGTTGTTTATTTAAAGTAAGCCCACAATGTTCCAAAATTAACAGCTACAGAGGTTGTTTACTAACATTATTAAAAATTTGAGCTATATTTTGAGCTTGAATTTTCCATGGCAAACTTTTAGTGTCTGTGGGGATTTGGATTTAAAATAGTTTGTTTAGGAGGAAGTTGTGGATAGCAGAGATGCCCATCTCAGAAATGCTGTAGTAAAATTGTGCATAACTCTTCAAATAAAAAAATGTGGTCAATAGCTATTACTTAAGGATCAATAAAGGTCTAGGTACTCAAATTCCCCCCCCCCCCCCCCCCACCCCATCCTAACACTACCCTTTCCTTCCCCAAGGCTATTCTTTAACTGGTGCTGATTTCCTTCAGAGGAAACTGAAGACATTTTACTTCCTTCTTAACACACTTAAATAGTTCTGAATAATGGACAATAGTGTTATTGAATCTTTTTGATTGATTGCTTGTACACAATCTCAGTATGAGAGTTAAAGTTATTCTTCTGCTATGCCTGAGAACATGATTATCAACTTTGTAATACGTAATTTTAACATATGTATATTATTCTAAACTTCACCAGTCTTTTCAGTATTAAGATCATGTCAGGATCTCTGTCCTAAATATTTTATAGTGCAGCAATGCTGAAATGGAAAGACAGTTATACTTAAAAGGGCTAAATTAAAAACTTGGAATTAAAACCTTATTATATTGTAAAATAAATAATTACAAGTAAAGCTTATAATTTTTTAAGAAACATTTTTTTAAATATAGATTAAAAGCAGAAATACAATATATGCATAAAAGGACAGTAAAAGAGAATTTGAAGATCACTATTATGCTTGGTTTGGAGTGCTTTTGGTTCCTGGATTTCATGACCTAGCTTTTCTATTACCCTTCTGCAAAGCATCCTTTAAAAAGCCATGTAAATTGTCAGGTGCCTGGGCAAAGCTGGTTGCAGCTGTGTTGTAGATGAGGATTTGTACTTCATAAAGCATGAAGTACTGTGGGATTGATGGTGCCTGAGACACCAGCTGGTCCTATCAGGGCAACCATCCCTTTTTAGGCCAAGGCAATCCACCTCCAAAGAGCACTAACAGAAATTAATAAACAGTTGAATGTCTAAAATTAAACAAGAGACATGCAGATTTAACTTCTTCTGTAACCAGAACTGAAATAAAGATAATGCATTATCTTTTAGAGGAGCATCTATTTCCAGTAATGCTGTACCTGGGAGCAAGAGGGATTTTTTTACAATAAAGAATCCTTATCCAGGTTTGATGTTTTTCTGCCATGGGTTGGACTCCATAATGGGGAGAAAGGGAATATGAGGCTTAATGCTTTCTGCTGGCTTGAGGTATTTTTCTCCATTTTGTTTTTCTGTTTGCACTAAGTATATAATAGTATAAGAAATAGTTTCCTTAGAATATTGTCTAACACAGGTGGTAAAGAATTCATTAAAATTGTTAGATTATTAAGTAAAGCAAAGAAGATTTACTGAGATTAATTTTTTCTGATGTAACTCTAACGAAGATCAAGGAGTTGCATGAAGATGAATTCAGGTCCACAAGCTTTGTCCTGCTTAGGGTGAAGCACATCACTGTAAGCCTGGCTTACAGTAGTTTCAGCTATTCCTTAGCAAGCTCAAGCAGGTAATAGATCTCATGAAATATCACAGATTATATATTAAATCAAGGAAAATGACCTTTCATCACAACAACATGTCAACTAGTAATTCATTACATTCCTACAAATAAGTAAGAACTGCTCAGTATACAATTACAGCTGTTCTGGATTGCAACAGTTAATAAATTTGCATATATTCCTTCAGTTATTCAGCTTTTCTCTGCACAGTTAATATTGTACCTTCATTAATAAAAAACTTATTTAGGACATCAGAAGAAATAAAATTGAGCAAAAGCTAATTTTTCAAACTCTGTACTGATTTTTAAGGCATTGAAAATTATTTGGAACTTGCAGTGACATTAGCAGGCAAGTGATGGACAACAGCATCTTTTGAGTTAAGTGGGCAAGAATTTTAAGCGAATATTGATTAAAAAGTATAGTTAGCTTAACACAGAATATTTTAATATGAGTTATATAGAAATTTAGCAAATTCATAATCACTTAATGAATTTGTCCACAATATTTAGTCCTAATAATCCTAGAGGCTGTATTTATAGCATACAAAAAAAATTGAACTAAATATTTCTGATGCTTTTAAGGTTAACAAGGCTCCTTATGCTTTTGCACCCTGAGAAGTATCTGGATCTGGCATTATTCTACATTAGTATTTCATGCACATTCCTTCCAATTGTGAGTATTCATGAAATTTACATTACCTTTTCTCAGCAGTATCAAACTAATCACCAATATCAAAAGATGTTTTAAAAAATACCTTATCTAGATTCTACAAAACCAAAAATATTTCCATGTGAAAAGAATATCTAATCAATCTGTTCCCAAAAATTTTAAATCTGAAAATGCTAAACCAAGTATGTTTTACAAATAGAATAAATAATGCAGTGTAACAGAAGACTTTATGTTATATTGCTGTGTGAGGTCATGATAACACATCCTGAGATCTATAAAAATTTAGTGATTTCTGTACATCTTTAATATGAGCTAATAACACAGAGTACAGGTGTTCCTTTTGAACTGCAAGAGAGTACACTGTGAATGAGTATTAAAAATAGTGTGCATTCTGTTTTTTACTTTCATAATATAGAATGCTCTTACTTACATATTGTGTATTATTCCTCATACATATTCAGTGCATATATTGCAACAGTTCCTTTGGAATCACTAACATGTAAGCTGCAAATGTGTATTAACGGCCAAATGCATTTGCATATTATGAGTCCGTATTACTGAATGCACAGCCAAATTGTTGATAAAGAGTCATTGCTATACATAGAAAGAGAATACAGAATTTGTTTCCCCGTGCTTCTCACTTGCAAATGGGCTATCTTGCAGTTATTTCTCACCCATATCTTAACAACTGAAAAAAAGAAAAAAATGCCAGTACAACAACAATTGGGAATTATAATTTTCTTGACGTAAAATATTTTGTGAGGGTTTTTGCTCTGTATCATAATCAATATTTCTGTTAATTGCCTGAATAGATATGCTTCTGGTTTTTCATTTTGGTATCAATATAGATTACTAGACCAAACAATTAGCATCAAGTGCTCATTCAGATAGTGCATGTAAAATGCAGTGCATGTAAAATCATTACATATAAAATGTAAAATAGGGAAAAAAAACAAACATAAAAATTATCCTCAGTCAATTCCACAAGTATTTTTAACTGTCATGATTTTCTTTCTTTGTATATTTGCCCAAAATAATGGAAGGGTTTGCCAGTCACGAATATGAATTCTATACATTGAACAGAACAAAATTTACAAAATAATATTACACAGCAACATAATTACAAAACTTCATCTGTATCAAAGTTATTGTTTGTGTACACTGACATATGTAGATAAACCCATGCAAATAAGGATGGAAAAAGGCACCATTTTACTTTTCTAAAACAGAGAAAGGGAGGAAAATAGTCTTCTGCCTCAGTTTCTTAGTTATACAAATCTTAGGTCTGATCTAATTCTGTGACTGTGCTGCTAGGAGGGATTTTCCCCAGGAAGAAGAAGAAAAGGTAAGGACCAACTGCCTTTGGCCCAGTTCTCTTCCTCATCCTATAGAGTTGCTGAAATAACTGGAAAGACAAGAGGAAATTACCCAAACCATTTCAAGGACTGCATAGTTGTGATACTGACTATTAGTTTTAGAATAGTTTCAAATGTATTACTTTAATAAGCAATAGCAAAAGTGACTTTATAGTTCTGATATCACAACGGAGATATTAACTCCAAAAAGTATTCAGTTATACTTTCTACCAATTAATGGCAATTCTAAACCACCTACCATGCAAGAACCAAATATTTACACAAGACTATCATAATACCTCAGCTAAAATACTGACAAAAACAGATAATGCAAACTGGATTTAACGTGCCTCCCATATAGCTGGTATTTTTGGATCCCATCTAGGAGATGAAGTCCTGCCTGGTGAATAGTGGCACAATGATACTGTTCACTAATACATGTAATATCTGCCACATATCATTGAGAGAGAAAGAATGTATGTATGTATGTTTGTATGTGGACATAAAATCACTGGAAGTTTTGTGTTTTTCCTTTAAAACAAGTTATTACATTTTAGTTTACTGTAGGAGCCTATTACAGTGCAAATTTACTTTATTTCTCTTTTACTTTTTCTGTGGTTTGTTTCAAACATTTTAAAGTATTAATGAAAATGCTGTATAAGTAATAATATTGGAGTCTAATTTTATTTCATATTGTTTTATATTTATAAGATCTATAAACAGACTCCTGTAAACTTATAAAAGCAGTTATTTTGAGGTCAGAGCTGTGGGGTTTTTTTCCTTTTATTATTGTAAATAAAATAAGATTGTCTGTACCCAGATGTTTTATACTTTTAACTACTAACTGCTCTCTCAGAGAATGTTTCGAGACATAAATGCCAGCAGACTGAATTACCTTGCTAACCAGTATTCAACATAAGTAAGTGAAATATTTTTCTGAAGTTTTCCAAAGTGATATCTATATTTTCTCAATAAATTATTTGCATTTTTGACTTAATACAATTTATTATAGTCAAAGTAAAACTCTGATAACCATGAACAATGGACAAGGAAAATTTAAGCAACTGTGGCATGGGTGCTTTCACTTCAAAATCTCTGTTGTTCCAGTCCTGGATGTCAGACCGCTTCCCTAATTTTTTTGCCCAAATTTGTTATGTCAGTAATTTTTTTTTCTTAAGTCAGATTTGATTGCATAGCAGTAGTAACCAGTCCTGTCTTGATCCATTCCTCTACAGTGACTAGTTAAACTTTCAAGCACTTGAAGACTCTGGTCTTCAAAAAGGTTTGACACCTGCTTTTCCAAATAGAAGGTATTTTTTTACCAGTTTGCACCATAAATATAATTAAGAAGTAAACCAAGTGAGTAGCAAAAATGCTAGTGCCATTGTCTCTCATTACTTTGTCACTTGCAGTGGTGGGAGCAAAGATTCCCGCCCCTCCACTTTTCCAAATATACACCTGGAAATTTATGTGAAGGAGCACTTAAGACATATATTCAATACGTATTTCTTTCTGCCTACCATTGTATATGGCATCAAGTATGCTAAGAATAAAAAAAAAATCATTTGCTACAATGGGAAAAATATGGAAGTTAATCTTCAGAAACATAGAACTTATCAGATATTTAATTTTCTTGTTATAAAACTGTGTTGGAAAATACAAAACATGAGGGTGAGCAGAAACACTACAAATGCTGGTTTCCCCCATTTGATACCAACAAATAGCTCTCTTCTATGGCATCCAAAGCTTCTCACATCTTATCACATATTAAATTCTCCTCTTGTATGAGGTTTCTTATTGAGTGAGAACTGATAAATAGCACCAAGGTGTCATGACACAGGAGAGTATCTTAAAATAAAGCAGAAGATATTTTGTCTTTTTCTAATGTAAATGGTTGAACTTGGGAACAATAGATGACTTAGGCCTCACATTGACCAAAAAAAAAAAAATCAATTCTTGACTCATGGATACAGCAATTTGGAAACTACTACAATAATTTCCTCTGCAGTTTGTAGTGAAATACACAGTTTGAGAATTTGGTAAAAGAAAGTGAAGAAAACGCACAATAGATTTCTGTACATACTCTGTAACGTTTGTGTATCTGTCTAGACACCCGGAGTTAACTACACTCGCAGTGTGCATGCATGAAGGATATGCTACACTAGACCATGAGATTATACATTTATCCTCATTTGTGAAGGTGGATGCCTAGAACTCATGAATGGAAAAAGATATGTTATGAAGTATTTAATCCTAATCAATATTTATTAAAGGAGACAAAGTAACAGTAGCACAAACCTATGGTACTTTACTAAAAAAACCAGCAAGCTGGACTTCTTATCATGCAATAATTAATGAAGTATTATGATTTATTTTAATGCTGAAGTGGGCTTTTTAAAACTCTAATTATATTAATGTACTAAAAGAAATACAATTGTCACTTAGTTTCATTAAGCATGACAGGTAACAGTTTCAAAGACAAACACTGAAACTTGTGGAAATTGCAAGTTCAGGTTGAAGTGACAGTATGGTATCAATGGGATGGAATTGTGCTTCTCCCTGCATTAATCAATACTAACATTTATTTTTTAATGTGTGAAGGATGTTTAGTTTCATTAATTTATGACTAGGTTCTTTCTACTTATGTCTTTCTGTGTCTGGATTTCTGTCCTTAATTTTAAAATATTTTGTCTGTTTATAAATCCACAGCCAATCTCATAAAATATTACTTTGGAAAGGAATCAGTTTTCTGCATGCCATGTGCAGTTTGTGATATTGATCATGCAACTAAGTCAATTAAAGGAGACATAGCTCTGTTAAAACTGGAAAAGTACTATTGTCACCTGTGCTATACTCTGTGCAAAATCAGAAGATTTACATTTGTTTGGTTTATGATATCTCACTTGTTTTTGCAAACCACAGGCTATACCTTTAATCCCCTAGCATAACCTAGGTTTTTAATTTCCAGTTGTGAATAAATAAACTACTGAACCAAGTCAGCATTATATTTTGCTTAGCAGAGCCTGTATCATAGGTCACAGATCTGATGATCTTGAGCTGGAACTGAGAGGATCCTGCCATAAAATAATTTCATTACAGCTTTATGGTTCAAAACACAAACACATACATGCTCCATGCTGCTGTCTATAGATGGGGTTTGCTTATGTTGCACTTTGTGATAGCTCATGTAGTGAAATTTTAGTACTTTGGGATAAGTGAGCAGTTAAAGACTTTAATTTCCAATGCAGTTAATGAGCAATGGTAAGGTGTGTGTACAGTAGACCTTTATGAACAGCTATCAGAAAGAATGCTTACAGCACCTGAACAGAATAGAATAAACAAATATTTGGACTATTTACTCTAAGTGTGGATAAATAATGTATACATGATAATTGATACATCAATTTAAAATTCAGAAATTACAGGAATTAAACAATTTAATTAATCTCTTCCACAATACTATAAAGTCAATTACATTAAGGGTTTCTAGAGCAAACTATTAATTCTGTATTGGGATAAGAGGGCCTTTTCAAGTGAAAATATAGTTAGTACCAAATATACTGAAATTTACCCCTGTCAACAGGTCTAAGCTTGCTAGGGGCAAGACATACTGTGAACCTGTTGGTAGCTTTCTCTGCTAACAGCACATATTTCTGCTCTCTGCAGGCTTTGTAAGCTGTAGGTTATGGATTTGCAACTTATATTGCTCTTTACATTTCCTGTACATCTGGCTCATTATTCCCATAACCTGCCAAAATTCACATATATTGCAGGTATTGTCTCTTAAACATATCAGTTTGATTAAGAGACAATGTTCATAGTGGAGGAGTAGTACATGGGGTAGTTTATGGCTTTTGAGGGTGATGAAATGCTGAAATGGAGCTGAGGCATTTGATAATCACAAGAGCTATTTGGTGTTGGAATATTCCAGCCACATGACTGTTCTCCCTTCAGCCAGTAAGAGAAGCACATTTTAAAAACAACGTTAAAAAGACAGATTTTTCTGGGTAAATGAAGGTTTGAAAGCACTTGAGAGCCCCAGCTCATCTTCCATGAAGGGCAGGCATAGGTAAAGATTGTATAGAATTTGTAAGGAGTATGTTCCTCTCCCTAAGAGCAGGGCTAAGGACAAATAATTGCCTGAGGCAGTTACCTGTGTAGAAACTGAGGGCTGAGACTGAGGTGTGGACATATGTGATTTGAGTTAGGATTTATGACTCATTTTCATATTGCCACTGTAAGAGGGTAACAATTATCATCCACCAGACTGGCCTGCTAGCACATGCTGGAAACAAGTCTAATGTGGTGACAATTCTCCGATCTCATGGGAACAAGCCTGTTTCATTTATATCCCCAAAAATATAGAGCAAGTAAGGATTGACACCTTAGGAAGAGGCCATTACAGAATTAGAAGGGAGGTTCTGGTGGAAAAATCTCCTAAGAGCTTGGAGAGGAAGTTGAAGTTGAGTTTGGAGGATTTTTTTGTTGTTGTTGTTAGTTAATGTTGTGAGGTATAAGTTAAAGGCCAATGCAAGGATATTACTTCATATTTATTTATACAGTGAATACCATGAAACTCAAATAATTCCCACACAGTAGCTTTCTATATACAGAACATCCACGTTTGGTTAATGTGGGGATTTTTACAAAGAAGGCATTACTGGTACTCAGGTTAAAAGGAAGTAATGTCTTCTGCAGCTGAACAACTAAACCCAAGAACATTAGTTTGTCATCTGGTGATTTCCAGAACTGGGAAATTTCTGATCATCATTCTCCCTCTCCCTCTGAACTCATATGCATCAGTCTAAAGCTATATAAAATTCAACCCTTTTAATTTAATGGAAATGAAGAAGGAAAGTGGAAGATGTTGAAGAGCTGGCCGGGCAGGTTTGGAGAGTCTCTCTAAGCAGGAAGCAGGTAACTTTGCTCCACTGGCAAGCTGGCACTTCTTTGAGTGTTAGTCAGAAAAGAAATATAGCCTGTTTATCCTTTTCACTGATCATTATGAGAAAAAAAAGAATAGAAGGCCTTATTTATTCCAACAGTTTTCTGTCTTCAGCTTTCTGATATTCTCACTTCATATCCACAAATGATTTGCAGAGACAACAGGGAGGAAATCTGAATTGGCAAACATACTTAATAGTGTTTTTTAAGGAGTAAACTGGCAAGGACAGGAGATGGACTATGACTGCACAGTAAAATACATGAGTACTTTTATTATAAAAATCCTGAGTCCCAGCTGCATTTCTTTAAACATAGCTTCTTCTGCTTTTTAAATTTATTTTTTTTTTACACAGGAAACCTCAACTCTTCTGAAATCTACCACAAACTTTCACTGCATCTATAAGCAAAACACTTAATCTTTGCATGTCTCCTTTAATTATCTATGAAATAAGAATGGCAATATTTGCTTCCTAGGAAGGTTAAATTTGCCTGGGATCCTGGGATGCCAAGTACCAGTGAATTCCAAGCAGTTATTATTTGTTAAGACTCTCAAGGCAATAATTTGCAAAATCAGTGAACACACCTGCAAATAATCTTCACCAGGACTATATCAGGGGTCTCCGTCAGGAGGCACCATTACCAGATTTTTAGTCTTGCCTGACTATCAGCATTCCAGTTTGGCCATTCTCACCTGTGGTACTATTGACAGAGAAGGCTTCACCCACTTTCGCTTTCCTCAGGCAGTCAGAAAAGATGTGATGACAAAATCAGAGCTTCCACCAAGATAGCAGGGTAGTTATCTCTGAAAGCATACTGGGCCACGGTTTCAGAACAATCCCACAACATGATTTAGAAGTTGACAGGGCTCTTGTTAAAGGCATAACAAATCAGCTTGTTCATTCTTGGGATGATAATGCCATTTCAGTGAAGTACAACTGAGTTCCTTTTACATTTTCTATGTGCAGCAAAAAACTCCATAACAATACTGTTGAGCCTTCTGAAATGAATACCTCTTGAAGCAATAAATCTCTTTAAGAAAAAAATAGTTTCTGGGCACCTAGGCTCTGTGTCTAAGGATTTGAACTTTCCTAATGCCTAAAATCTGGGGAAAAAGTCCAGAAAGGACACCCAATTAGAAGGATATTGACTCGTCCTGACAAAGAGGTGGGGGGAGGGAGAAAGGGAGAAGGAGGGAAGAGATCAAGGCTCACAACAAAAGGCCTATTCATTTATAACAGCTTGGCTGTGGAACCATTCCAGCATGCTTAAAAATACTTTATCCATTAGTTGGGAGCTCTTTTCTAAATGACGACTTGCTGCCCACATATGACCACAACCAGCTCCCTTTTCACACTGAAGGTAGTAAGGTTCACATTGTCAAAAGCAGTTTGTCACCTCTTCTGGACGTTGTAAGGAGGTGAGGCAGAGTAAAGCAAAGGTGTTCTGTGAGAAACAAAGATCCCTGACCTCCAGCATATAGCAAGGGGAAGGACAATGACATTCAGTTCCTCCCAGACCATTTTAAAAGAAGAGAACAAGTGAATACAGCATTCAACTAGAGTCCTGCTTGCAAGAAAAACAAGGAAGAGCATTTTAGGTCAATCAAGTTATTAAAAATAAGATAATTTATAGCCTCATTATATGAGCTCAGCAATAGTCCTTTGCTAAGCTCTGATCACACACCTGAATAAAATCATCAAACATATTTCATCAATGTTCCCACATATTAACCAAGAGATATACATTTTTAATTACAAACACTAAATACTTGTTGAACAGCAGGATTTTTTTAATCAAATTATTCTCTCTTAGGAATACTTCCTCCTCAGTTATAAAGCAGTATAGCTGGAACTATTAATAATTTATGCTGAGGACTGTGGATACAACTTCATACAAAAGCTTTTCTTTATCTGAAATGTGGCTGTTGCTGTAAAATTTGCACTCCTATCTTTTCACAGTACTTTGTTGCATATGATTTCAGAGTGTAGTTTGAGGAAAATGAATGTCTGGTTTAATGTGTGTTTATTTCTCTTGACACATACGCTGTGTCCTTATGTTAGTTTGCATTGAGACTCTGGAGAAGATTCTGGGAGAATACTGTGCAGTTGATCTTCTCATCAAAGTATCAGCTTTTCTAAACGTGTCATTCAGCTACAGCAAAAAGTACTCTGTATTACAATATATGCTATCTGATTCACCTTCTTACAAGGATCATCTTTGTAACCTTCTCTCATGTGGATATTCTTAATAACACCAGCTTTATGTAAATGCAAAAAGACTACATCTGTATCTACAGTATCTGTTTAAAGTAAAAATACAGGGAAAATATACGGGGAAAAATACTTAGGTTCTAATAACATAATATTCAATAATTTATATTTGGAGTTTATATTTTAGATATGGAACAAGGTTTGTGAGAATTCCTTGTTTCCTTTGTTTAGTTGATTACTTTCTAGCTAGCATGCAGAAGCAGTGGTTAAAGTTGACATTGTAAGTAAATATTCATATGTGTCCACTTAGTTACTCCTGCACATGATTTTAGTGTAAAGAACTGAGTGTACAATAGCTGTCTTTATAGTTTCCTAAGACAAGAGAGCTCTTAACCTAGGTTTTTCAGGTACCTTGAAATATTTATGAGCAATACAGTATGGATTCTAAAAAATATTTCCTTTAATGAATACTGGCATGTTGTAACCCAGCTCTGCAGAAGGCCTAAGAAAAATGGCAGGGCAAGATCTAACATTTGTTTACATCTCACTTCCAACAAAGTACAAAGTATTTTCTTTTGGCTGGCCTTTAAGTGGATGCAAAATTACATAATGCAGTAAACCACAAGGCAGATAGAAAAGAGAGACCACAGGTCACACTATCCAAAATGAAGAAACAAAGTCAGGTTATAGTTTTATCATGAGAAGTGCTATCTATGTTTTATGTGCAGTGCTGGGCTTGTAAATGTTTCTAATTTAATGGGGCAATGTATCCAGACATTAATAGCTCATTTCATTTTCTAGACTACATCAAAGAGCAAGATGACCTCTATGCAATAGCAGAAAGGAAAAGACTTCCTGAATTCTGAGCCCAGATACAAGGCGATTTCAGAAGCCTTCCTGTCACTGCCTGTCTCCTGTCTTCTGATGAGTTGGCTGGTTGGGGATTTTTATTTAAGAGCAATATTTACCTACTCCATAGGAATGCTATGAAGATTAATTCATTTGCATGCCATGTGAAATATTAAATGTGTGGAGAAACAGGTTTCAATTGTGGAAGTTAGGGTGCAGCTCTCAAGCTCTGAAGGAGAAACTAACTGGTGATGTCTGTTTACTTTATGGTCCTTGCTCTGTCACTTCTCAGAAAACACACCAAGGCAGAAGGAAGGGGTCTCAGGGACAGTGTCCTCTTTCTAATCTACGGTGGGAAATGCCCTGTGGCCCTCAGCCAGAGGGCATTTCTGCAGACTGCTTCCATGTCCTTATGGCAGGTGAGGTGATGAGACTTGCATATAGTTCTCATTCCCATTTGGGCTTCTCTGTCAAAAGTACTTTTAGCTGAGGTTGGATCTTAATGTATATGCACAGATGTTAACAAGACAAATTGGACTCTCAAGCAAAACAGAGAATGACCAGCTTGTCTGTATAGGTGTAGCTCATATATCATGTTCCACTTTCTTATTGAATTGTAATTCATGGGGCTAATGGACTACTTAAAACAAAGAAACACTTAGAAATCCCTGACTCATCAAACATAAGCAGTCTTAAGCCAGGTCTTAGTATCAAAAGAAGCTGATTATTAATAGCTATATTACAGTGAATACCTCAAAACCAAAATATCACAATTCTTTTTGTCTACAGTAGCAATGTCCTGTTCTCCATCCACAGCATGGAACTTGAGGTGCATTTGCATATCTTAAAAATTAAATTGACTTTTCTAGAAATAAAACTATACCAAATACAACATGAAGCAGAACTGAGCACTTATTAATCCTGTTTATAGGAATGTATGTGGAAATCAATGGTTCTTTTAATGAAAAATATAAAATAAGGACAGAACTTAATAGACCACTCATTCCTGTATCAGGTAAGACCAAGTTCAAAGTACCTCATTACTTTGTCTCGAATATTAGCCTGGAGAAGATGCCTCTACAAAAACAATTATATTTCATAGAATAATTAAATGTTAAGAGGTTGGAATGGACCTTAAAGATCATCCATTCCCAGTGTCCCACTGCCATGCACAGGGACACCTCCCACTATCCCAGGTTACTCAAGGCTTTATCCAGCCTGGCTTTGAACATTGGCAGGGCTGGGGCACACACTGCCCTCCCTTGGGCAGCCTCTTCTAGTGTCTCACCACCCTCAGAGAAAATAATTTATTCCTAATATCTAACCTAAATTAGAGGACTGGGCAATGAATTTCAACAAAGAAAAGCGACAGATTCTTTACCTGGGATAAGGCAACCCTGGATGTAGGTACAGTCTGGGGAATGAGATGCTGGACAGCAGTGCTCTGGAAAGGGTCCTGGTCGATGGCCAGTTGAATGTGGGTCAGCAGTGCCCTGGCAGCCAGGAGGATCACCTGTGTCCTGGGGTGCAGCAGGCACAGCATCGCCAGCTGGGCAAGGGAGGGGATTGCCCAGCCCTACTCTGCTCTGGGGCAGCCTCACCTTGAATATTTTGTGCACTTTGGGACACCACAGTATAAGAAAAATATAAAGCTATGAGAGAATGTCCAAACGAGGACCAAATGGAAGGTGATGGGCCTTGAGGGGAAGCCGTGTGAGAAGTGGCTGAGGTCACTTGGCCTGTTCAGCCTGGAGAAGAGGAGACTGAGGAGAGACCTCTTGAATTTACAACTTCCTCCTGTGGGGAAGAGGAGGGGCAGGCACTGATCTCTTCTCTGTGGTGCCCAGTGACAGGACCCAAGGGTCTGAAGTTGTGTCAGGGGACGTGTAGGCTTTATTAGAAAAAGTTTCTCCACACAGAGGGTGGTTGGGAACTTATCCAGGGAAATGGTCACAGCCCCAAGCCTGATGGAGTTCAAGATATATTTGGGCAATACTCTCAGGCACTTGGCATGGCTCTTAGTTTCCTGTGCTGGGCTGAGACTTGGACTGAATAATCCTTTTGGGTATCTTCCAACTCAGCTTATTCTGTGATTCTGTGATTTGTACCCATCATTCCTTGTTCTATCACTAAAGTTCCCGATCAAGGGTCCCTCTCCAGCTTCCCTGTAAGCCACCTTCAGATGCTGGAAGGTTGCTATGAGGTCTCCACACAAAATTCTCTTCTCCAATCTTAACAGTCCTAGTTTTCTCAGACTGTCTTCTGAAGCAAAGGGCACCAGTCCTTTTATCAGTCTTGTGGCCTTCCTCTGGACTTATTCCAACAATTTTGTGTTCGTATGTTGGAGATACCAGAACTGCAGTACCCCAGTTGGAGTCTCACAAGAGCATAGCAGGAGAATCACCTCTGATCTACCAGCCATGCTGCTTTGGAAATTGCCCAAGATTTGATTGTTTTTTTGCGCTGCAGTACACATTGCCGGCTTATGTTGATTTTTTTCATCAACTATCACCCCCAAGTATTCCTCAGCAGGCTGTGGAAAAAGTTGTTAATTTATATATCCGAAGTCTACTCTACCAGGCCACACATATTGTCAGTTTATAAGTAGCCAAACTCAGTAATTGTTGTTATTCAGTAGTTTTTTTTGAGTAGCTCATTCTTCCAATTCTTTGTCAAGCCTATATCAACTTTTAACACCACAAGTGTCCTGTAATAACTTCATTACGTGAAGAGGATTTTTGTTGTTTCAAACTTGCCTTATTCAAATTTCATCTGATAGCTGGTTTTTCTTTCTAGAAAAGACAGTATGCAATCATACCCTTTTTAACTCCCTCATAATCTTGATGATTTTATAAACTATTAATTAATTAATAATTTCTTATTTTTTCTAGCCTGAAGAGCAATAAGATGCTTAATTTACAGTCATATTGAAACAGTTTCATACTTCTAATAATCCTTGTTGTCTTCTCTGTATCTTTCTGATTGGAGAGGGAGGAGAGAAAACTGAACAAAAAGTATATACAGTGTTCAGGACAAGCTCATGGTGTGAAATTACAGAGAGGTGTAACAATATTTTCTGTTTTGAGATTACTATTTCTTAGAACTATTTATTTACAGTTATCTACTCTTTGTAACTTGAAAATAGCATTCCTGAGTGAAAGGTTTTGTATGTTAAATTAGAGTTTATATATGTAGCTAGAGCTGAAGTTATTTTTACATTTTGTCTTTGTTTCTCTAATAATAAGGAATATGTTCTTCAGCTCTTCTCAGTTGTTCCTCATCCTTCTTGCCCTGAATAAATTTGTAATACTAGCAAACTTTATTATCTCACCACTCACCTTTCCACTTCATTTTCTACTATGTTTAAGAGCACAGATCTAGCACGCACGTTTATAGTTCTCTGCTAGTTCTCTCCTTCAACTGAGAAAGCAGACTGTATAAACTTATTTTGTCTCCAACTTTTCAGCAAATATCCATCTGTTCAAGGACTTTCCCTCCTACTCAATGGCAGCATAGTCTGTTTGACAGGAGCATTCTAAAAAGGGCAAGGAACATTTTAAAAAGCCTTTTGCCATTCTAAGACAACTTTGGCAGCTGGATTGCTCTTTGTGTGGTTGCTGACTCCTCCGGTGAACTTTATGCAAAATTATAGATGTGGCTTTTCTTTACAAAAGCAATACTAATTCCCCTCAAACATATAATATTTTTTCCATATCTACTAATACTTTTCTTCTATTCTGCTTGTAATTGCCCAGTTCAAAAGAGAAAAAATAGATTAATTGATCCTCCTTGGAATTTTTATTTTTTAAACAGCAACATATACATAAATTCCATTCATTGAGTAGCAAAGTAGTTTAAAAAATGGTTGCACGCTGTAGTAAAGACACTGGCATCTTCATACCTAAATTACTCTAAAGTTCTTAATTTCAGAAATGCTAAGTAATCTTTTATTCTTAACTTTGTAATGTTGTTCCATTAACTCTTTTGTTGAAACAGACACTTTGATGTCAGAACCTGTTTTTTAAGGGCTTCAGACATGATACCAAATTTCTCCACAGTTAACACAGGTACTAAAAGTAGATTCAGCTTTATCTTCTGTGGTAGATAAGGGACAGGCGAAGCGGAAGACCACGGGATGTGACGGAAAGATAGACCCCTCCCCCTCTCCTTACCCCACGTTATCTATTAACCCCAGAAGCCCCAGAAGCATGTAGCCACACCTGCCCCGGTAAATTTCCACTCCCGACTAACCCCTGAGACCCCCCAACCCCCCTCTGACGTAGCAAAGACCCCCAAGACTATTTAAACCCACGAGATGAGATAATAAACGCTTTCGATCGTCCACCAAATTGGTGCCAGCGTCTTTATCGATAGCCCGAGCGGCCTGGAGAGGCCAGGCCGCCGTGCTGCCACCTGAACCAGGTCGCCCGTTGCCCTTTATAAAGGCAACATACTGGTGCCGAAACCCGGGAAGAGGAAAAAGGGAAAAATTCCCCCGGCAGTCGGGATACGCCTGGACGGGAGCAGCGGCCGGAACGGTCAGACCGTATCTAGGCGCAGGGAGACGTCCCAGGACCCGCGAGCGTCATAGGCAGCGTCGCATGGGTCGTGAGTATGATTTGTGGGCAATGGAGTATCGAATTTAAGCTCAGGGACTTTTATCTTGCTATAGCAAGGCCGCTTGAGCTTGGGGCAACCGAATGCTCAGTGGATGCCATGCATCCGGGAATATGGGAACAGTGTACAGCCACGCTGGCCGGGGAAACAAAATCCTCAGGCAGTGGCGAGAGCCCTAAGGCACAGGGCGAAGTAGAAAAAGCTCCACGCAAGGCAATAGGAAAGCAGGAGACGTGGAGTGCAGCACGTATGCGTTTATTAGTTAGACCCGGGCTCGGGACGGGGGCGGAAGCGCAGACCGTCCCTGAAGACAGTCCGCCCGGGAACGGAGACCCAGGGGGGCTCGGCGCGACACCCCCTTCCCCAGATCAGAGCCCAAACCCCGCCGCGGAAGCCCCCCGAAGAACCCCCGCCGCGAAAAACCCCCAAAAAACCCCCGCCGCAAAAAAACCCCGAGAAACCACAGCTTCCCGATCTGTCCCGCCGCCGCCGCCGGTCAGAGATCCATTGTCAGAAGCGCAGCGGCGCGCGGAGCGCTTTTGGCAGGAGCTGGCAGGAGAAGCCAGAATCGCGGAAGCCGCAGCTCAGGCAGAGACGCTAACTGCGCGGCCACGTTGCCGCTTTAAAAATGGCGCCGGCAGCCGTAGAGAGGGGCGGGGCGCGAGTAGTCTCGGCGCGAAAACTCGGAAACCGCGCGATTTCAGGGGCGCGCGTGCGCGGGAGAAAGGGGCGGAGAGCGGCACGGAGCGCGGAGCCAATCAGCGGCCGCGCCAGGCGCCGCCACCATATAAGGGAGAAACCACCCCCCGCGGGGGGCGCGGCGAGCCGGGGGGGCGGGAGCGGCCACTCCCCCGCGGGGAGGAGCGAGCTCGGGGCCGGACAAAACGGCGCGGAGCCCCGGAAGTGCGCTGGCATTTGACTTCCGGCGCGGAGCCTGGCGACAGCTCTGCCGGCTCGGAGAAGCCGGCGGGGGCCGGCCGGGACTCCAAAACAAAAGAAACGGAACCAGCACAGTTTAAAACAAAACCGAATAGAGTTCTAAGCCGCACCGAAAAGCGGTCACAATATGAACCAACCCAGTTTTACCAGCTGGGGAAAAACACCCCTTGGAGCTGCGGGAGGAAAGAGCATCTCGCCAAGGAATGCAGGTCCCAGCCCCCGGAAACACGAGACGGGGGGGGGGGGGCGGGGCGCGGGCTGAACCCAGCCTCCTCCCACCGCAAGCAGCGCCTGTGCCGCAGAGTCAGCAGGAGACGCCCCGATACGGGACCCCTGGGTAACCCTAGCCATGAAAGTGGGAGAGAGCCCCTGGGGGTGTGGGAGACGTGCTGCCTCTGTGGCAGTCGGGACCCCCACGTGGTGAGACTATGAGAGCCACTGCTGCACACCCACTGCTACCAATCAAACCTGACCCTCAAAACAAAACTAATGAGAAGCTGTGAGTCTTGTTTGCAGGACACGCTTGTGAACCATCCCCGTGACACATACACCCCTGCTCCAGAAGGAGATGACGGACCACCAAGCCACCAGACAAAACCTGAGCGTCCCACGGCGGTGAGACCCAAACATGCACAGTGTCTTTATGCAATTTTGCTGTTTAGAGGCTTGTGGCCGGGGGGCAAGCTGGCCCAGGCCACTACCCTCATCAGCTATTTAGGTGGGTCGTGCAACATCTATCAAGTGACAAGGTGCTCAAAGAAGTCACCACAATAAATACCCCATCCTTCGTGTTCCACATAGCCAACCTGTTTAAAAGCTACCTTACTAACCCTAAATGAAACCAAATCGAACCTGACTAACCCCTATTAGTTTTGCTATGATGTTAATCCCCCTTTTCTACGAAAGCATTGCTTTAGACACCCCCTTCAGTTACTCCACAGCCAATACCCCCCACCAGTGCGAGTGGGACACTTCCCGCAGAGGACCAATAAGTGGGTGGTCCCATCCGCATCTAAGACATAGGTTTTCCAAAGACCCAGAGTGAATCCTTATATGTTCCTTGCCAAATTTAATAACTCTATCAATTTCTGTGCCCAAGTTCTAACTGTTCTAGGGTCCTATATCACTCAGACGAAGAGATATACCACCTTCTCGAAGAACCTAACAGACTCCACAAAAGAGAAATTGACCATCGCAATGCTGCTCGGCCTGGGAGCAGCTAGCACAGCCACAGGTGTCTCAGCCATCGCAACCCAACAGCACAGACTCTCTCAGCTGCAAATGACCATCGACGAGGACCTACAGAGGATCGAGAAATCCATCTCCTATTTAGAGAAATCAGTCTCTTCGCTTTCAGAAGTGGTCTTACAAAATAGGCAGGGACTGGACCTTTTGTTCATGCAGCAGGGAGGACTGTGTGCAGCCTTGAAAGAGGAATGCTGCTTTTATGCAGATCATACGGGAGTCGTTAAAGACTCCATGGCAGAACTCCGAGACAGACTGGCTCAGAGAAAGAAAGACAGGGAGACCCAGCAGAGCTGGTTTGAATCCTGGTTCAATCAATCACCTTGGCTCACCACTTTAATTTCCGCCCTGGTAGGTCCACTGGCAATACTGCTTTTAGCTATTACCATAGGACCATGCCTGCTGAACAAACTAGTCTCGTTTGTTCAGGCCTGTCTGGAAAGGGCAAACATTCTGTTCATAGGCCACCAACAAATGCTGTAAACCAAAAACTGCAAACACGGTCAGTAGCTAAAGCCTTCAACACCTGCCTTGAAAAAATTACCCAGATTTACCAAACCACCCTTTCCTTAACAAGTTGCACGTTTGTACCTCACTCCAGTGCCTATATCTACGACTACCTAATTTTGTATGTGATAAGGAGGGGGGAGATGTGGTAGATAAGGGACAGGTGAAGCGGAAGACCACGGGATGTGACGGAAAGATAGACCCCTCCCCCTCTCCTTACCCCACGTTATCTATTAACCCCAGAAGCCCCAGAAGCATGTAGCCACACCTGCCCCGGTAAATTTCCACTCCCGACTAACCCCTGAGACCCCCCACCCCCCTCTGACGTAGCAAAGACCCCCAAGACTATTTAAACCCACGAGATGAGATAATAAACGCTTTCGATCGTCCACCAAATTGGTGCCAGCGTCTTTATCGATAGCCCGAGCGGCCTGGAGAGGCCAGGCTGCCGTGCTGCCACCTGAACCAGGTCGCCCGTTGCCCTTTATAAAGGCAACAATCTTCCCTATTTTTTTTCGCATACCCTGATTAACTAATATCTCTACAAACTCTTATTTACTTCTTGCAAGCTTCTTGTTCTTTATATGTGTAAAAAATATCTTTATATCTTTTGCAAGTTTGTCTTTCAAAATATAATAAAGAATAATTCATATTTTTGAATATGAAGTTAGAAGTTTCTTCATTCTACTGTAGTTCTCTTTTATCAAAGTCAATGGGACTGTTTTTCTGTCAGTGATTTTGAAATTAGGTAAATTATGGCCACTCATGCTAACCTTCCTGTGTTGATTGCAAAACAAGATTAAGCAGTTAAAGTCTGCTATCTTTCTGCTTACAATAACATTTCTATTACAACCTTTTATTTTAATATAGGGGGAGATTAAATGAACTGATACACCTAGTAAAGAGCATGCTCATAGTAATGCAGTAGTGAGAGATCATGGTACAAGACTATTATGACAGCATACTGGAATTTAAAATTGTTCTTGGTCATTCCAAAGATAGAG